TTCCGCACGATCCTGTCGGTACCTCGGGGCATTGTTACGCTGCGAGTCTACCAACAGCCGTTTGAATTCGCCATTGGTAAATCGAGGGATCAACTCGCCACAGTCATTTGTCTTGACAAGTGTTGTTCCGACATTAATAATCAGCGGAAGTTGTTGAGCTCGCCATTTTGTTGAAACCCAGGAAACTTCGATGGGGCGATTCTTCGTCCGTAGGCTGCCACCGATCTGGCCCTTTTTACTTTGGCTGGTCGTCTTTTATTCGGTTTGGCTCGGCATTGTTGCCGTGGGTAATCACTGGGGAACGCTCGCCTCACATTGGCCGATTGCGTTGACTATGTCCTTGGGATCGTATGTCGCCGGATCGACTCCCATGGGCGGCGGCACCGTCGCGTTTCCAGTGTTAGTACTGCTGTTCGAGATGCCAGGCGCACTCGGTCGAAACTTCGGCCTGGCCATCCAATCGATCGGCATGACTTCGGCCGCCATTTACATCTTGTCGACACATCGTCCGGTCGATTGGGGACTGCTTCGCCCTGCCCTGCTAGGTTCATTGATCGGCACACCGTTGGGAGCAGCCTTTATTGCTCCACATGTTCCCGATTTGTGGGTGAAACTTATCTTTGGCGTGATTTGGGCCAGTTTCGGTATCATGCACCTGGTAAAGCTCAAGGAACTCACCACGAATCAAGGCATGCATCACCGCAGCAAGTCATTCGATCCGGCCATCGGTTTGACGATTGGTATCTTTGGCGGGATCGCCTCTTCGATCACCGGGGTAGGCATCGACATGATGATCTATGCGACGTTGGTTTTGCTGTACCGATCCGATTTGAAGATTGCCATTCCAACGTCAGTTATCTTGATGGCGTTCACCTCCCTGGTTGGAATTGGTACGAACGTTTTGCTATCCCAGATTAGCCCTAGCCAGTTTGCAATCGCTCCAGAGGTTTACACTAACTGGTTGGCGGCCGCGCCGATTGTCGCGTTGGGAGCACCGTTTGGCGCGTTGGTCGTCAACTTAATCAGCCGAACCCCAACGCTAGTGGTCGTGTCGATCTTGTGTATCGGCCAATTCGTTTGGACACTCATCCACGAGTATGTCACCGGCGTCGCGTTATTGGGGGCGCTCGTTGGCGTAGCAGTATTCATCTTGCTGTTCCAAGCTTTGTATTCCGCTGCCAAGTTCGTGGAAAGATCAGAGACTCTATCGGACACAGCTCGTACAGGAGATATGCTGGAAAGTTTTGATGAAGCATCATGACGTCTGTGAATGATGCCTTCTCTCTAAAATCGCTTGGGGTTGGACATCATTCACGGACGAGTACCTTGATTCAATTCCCTGTGATACGACGCTGCACGAACCATCGGTTTCGAGAACGACAGCTCCAATTTGGACAATGTCTTCGCTTCCTGCACTTCGAATTGCGGAGAGCACTTCGTCTTTTGTGATCCGTGAACGTTTCATCTCGTCATACAGAAACTGCCCGTTATAGAACAAGAGACGTGGCTCCCCCGTTACGACTCGTTTAACCCATGGCGCCCTAGCACTCGTCCAGGTAACGATAAACTGCAATCCAATCAACAGACCGAATGCAACAACTCCTTCGGCCAGTGAAGTTTGCTTATTTAAGAGAATGGTGGCCAGCGTCGACCCCAGCGCAATGGTCACCACAAAGTCAAACGCATTCATTTTGGAAAGGGTCGTATTACCACTTATTCGGAGGC